TATGTGGGTTCTCTTAAATGGCGCGCCTAACAAATTTTGAATCCCGTCAAACCGGAGCAGATCCTTCCTACCTTCAGTCGAGAACTAGTCAAAGGGAAAGACAATTCGGGGAATCGAAAGTGCCCACAGTACACTCTTCACACTATTGTGAGTGTACTGTGGGCACTTTAGATTCCCAAATTGTCTTTTGCTTCAACTAGTTCTCAATATTAGGCAGTCAGGTAGAAATCCTACTGAATCCTACGCAAAATTCGGAAAATTGACACGGACGACGGACATACAGAATGTCAAAAAAGGGCCGATTTCCGACCACACAGGATTGGAACGCGCCTAATCTGCCTTCACAATCAGAGTACATCCCTTCAGTTCCTAGAACCAATCAACAGGAAGTGACTGGCTCAGCATCTCAGCTAAGAAGAGTTTTGGTTGAAGAAATAGCAGCAAAAGGTTTGTCACGACCAAAAAGGAATATAATGCTGGGTGCTATTGCAGCTTCAGTTTTGAATGTTGCTGAAGGATATTTAGATTCAGAGCTATCAGAAGAAAAAAAGCTTCAGCAGGAAGGACAGCCTCAACCATTGGTTCCAGTCCTGGATGTTCTTGAAGAAACAAATGCAGGTAGTACACATCAAGCCTTCCATTCAAAAAACTGAAGAAGTCACTTATTGTGGGTTCCGGATTTCCTGTAGTTTTGACAGCATCTCTTGTACACTCTGTGAAGGTTGACCCATATTTCTCTCAGTTTCTTCCATCCATGTTCAACAAACTTACTGGGATCCACTTTCTTTCCATTCTCTTTCATGTGTTTGTCTGTGGGGAACAGAAGGGTTCCATTTGATGAATGGTCGTTGAATTCCTTTTCCACTTCCACCCAGAAGTGTTGCGGGCGGTACTCACCCCAGATGATACCCCTTTGGTACCACGGCATTTTGGGTGACAGTCATAAGTTGGGCTTCTAAATCACAAAAAGGTCACAGCCATCTGAAAGCACGTGCTCTTTCTTCTATCTATTCATATTTTAACACGTGCATTCAACCCTAAAGTATACATCCATCATTAAGACGTATGGTGCAGTGAAGGTGCGCCATAAAGGTGCAAAATATAAGTGTGTTCAAAGATCAAGAGTGTTTCAAGATAGAGCCATAAGTATGAAAAGCAGGGCACATTGAAATGGCATGTAATTGCACCAATACTGCAAAAGAGCATTAAATAAAAAAATGTGCTTCAGCCCTTAAGTATGTTGAGCCGTTAAGTAAAAAGATTGAATCCTCGCGCTATCAAAACTTAATATGCTTAAGTATGCATCCAGCATCTATAATGTGTGGTATCGTACCCGGTCTTGGTACCAGATCACCTAAAACGTCGGTACTGGATCACATGTGGTTTGGATTCGTAGAGCAATAAGTTTTTACTTAAGGGTTTTAATTTGGTACCGGATCACCCAAAATGTTGCTGCTACCGCATCCGGTACTGCCTCCATCACCCAAAATGTGGTAGCAACATTTTGGGTGATCCGGTACCCATACTTAAGGGTTTAACATACTTAAGGGTGTCAATTTTTTGATATTGCAAGGATTTTGCAGTATCGGTGCAATTAGACGCCATTTTGATACTTATGGCTCTATCTTGAAACACACTTGATCTTCGACCACACTTATAGTTTGCACCTTCATGGCGCACCTTCACTGTCAAAGTGGAGCACCTTTGCTCCAAACAAACTTATAGTTTGCATGCCAATAAAGGCATCAAAGGAATGTTATTTCTGTTTGCTACAGTTATTGCTGTTTCCTACAGTTTTTTGAACCACAATATGACCATGACTGTTTTGTCACCCAAAATGTCGTGGTACCAAAGCGGTATCGTCTGGGGTGAGTACTGCCCGTAGTGTTGGTCGTATCCTGCTTGGCCAGAGTCAATGATCTCCTTTGTTACAGTGTTCCCCAGAGTAGCAAACTTCGGCCTTACTGATTCAGAGAACAAGACGTTGAGAAGCCTGAAGATGTCTTGAGATTGTTTCCTCCCAGATACTGATGCTTCAAGTTGTACCAGTTTTCTGTCTTCCTGAAGTGAATTCCAGGATTTGTAGTTCTGGATCAAACATTTGATCATAAAGTCTTTCTTGGCATTATGCAGCCCTTTGATCTCAAGCTGGGCACAGATTCTTCTTATTTGAGTGCTTTTAATCTGAAGAAAAGTATACCCTCGAAGCCCAACTGGGGATCCAGATTTGTCGACGTCGACATTGTTCCAGGTCACATTGTTCATGTCAGGGATAGATTTCTTTGTGTTGGTCTTTCCCTCTTCTTTTGGTCAAGTCTGTCTTCCTGAGTAGGATTGGAATCATCATCCTAATCAAGCGAGCTGGGAGCTGCAACAACCTCCATGTCGATGTTGTCCACAGAGAGAACAGGTGGGCTATCCTCATTGTTGCTGTTAGTATTCTTCATTTGATTGATTGTTGTTTCAGTTACAGGTTTAAATTTGCTGCTGTCAAAAAAGTGAGGCGTTTGAAAAGCAGTTTGAAAAGCAAATCACTTCAGAGATCGGTTCGAAAAAGTGAGTGTTTGTATGAAGCTGTCACCTCCGCCAAAGCCCGATAGCTGTAGAGGCGCGAAAGAGAGCCTATTCTTGGAAAGGGACTGGAACTGTACAACAGACACTTAGCGCAATGGAATTCAAAGGAGGAAGTCTTACGTGTGAAGTCAGAGGAAAAGAAGGTGGGGACAGAGGAACAGAAGGCGGGGACAAGACAAATTTGATGGCGCCAACAAGATTGGATAGGCCCAGGAAGCAGCGGGAAGCCAAAGCAGGAGCAATAAGTAGAAAGTAATGTATTAGCAGTCTTTGTTATGTAAATTCGTCCATGAAGCACCTCTGTGGCATGTCAAAGGCATGTCAAAGTCATTGAAGTGATAGTATGTTGTTAAATTCATTGAATGTGAATAATGTTTCTTGAGAGAGGACAATTTATGTGTTGGCGATAACAATGAGCACACTGAGGCGCCTAAAATATTAAAAATATTAAAAGTATTAAAAATATTAACGTCCGCATGTGCTCTGCTTTAACGTCAGTAAAATCCTCAAAGATCGCGCCGATAAGAACGGCCCTTAGCGAAATAGGAAATAAAAACTCGTGTAATCTCAGCCATTCAAAAAATTACCCGCGCCTTCATGGGCCCTACACCATTTCTACACGTTTTCTAGTAGTTGTATTTTAAGTTAAATTATTGTCGTATATTTGCACACCTTTATGGCGCACCTTCACAGTGGCATGGCGCACCTTCGCTGTCACAGGCAAGGCACTATCGAACCACATGTTTTTGAAGGTTGGCACCAGAACGTTATTTCTGTTTGTTACAGTTATTGCTGTTTCCTACAGTTTTTAGAATCACATTATGACCATGACTGTTTTCTCACCCAAAATGTCGTGGTACAAGAGCGGTATCGTTTCGGCTGGCTTCAATAGTGATTTTAGAGGACCACCATGGTCAAAGGGCAATGGAGACGAAAAGATCTGAAATAGTGACCGAAATTATTTCGAATTTGTGACCGTTGAGTCTTCGTACACGTACGTGTACTGGTGTACGCGCGCGTGCATTAATTCCGGTTAAAAAAATGCCGCCCGTTGCAAGTGACGCGAATTGCTTCAACCTTTGTCTTGCTCCTGCCGAGACGAGAGAGGTCCAAGTTACTTCGCATTTCTCAAACTCCACAACTCTGGAACCATGTCGATTTCAATTTTTTGGAAAAAAAGAAGATTCCCAGATCCCCCTCTGGGTAACGAAAATTGTGGTCAGTTTTGATCACAAAAAAATGTGATCAGAAATAACAAATTTGTGATCAGGTTTTTGTGATCAATCTTGATCACAAATTCGAACTGTCTTGTGTACATTTTGTACTAGTCCCGTTTTTATCGTATAGCGTGGGCCAAGCAAAAAAGCACGGTTTAAACCGTACATTAGCAATCAAAGATATACGTAAACGAATATCAGTCAATATTCGTCGTACGCCTTACTCCCCCACSCCATTAGAAAGCGCTTTCAATTCTCTTTTCAACCATGTGCTTATTGTCTTTCTGCGACCGTTGAGGAAAAAGTTAGAGCCCCAACTGTCTGTTCAAGACTGAAACAGTTATACGGTTAAATTATACGTGTGCGTGGATTAGCTGCCATCTAATTACCGTGTAAAGACTACTTTGACTCAACGGATGTGAGTCCCACAACAGACAAAGTTGCTCACAAAATTAGGCCACTAATCGTGTAAACTCTTATCTTGGCAATTNGGCCAATTGATCCACAACTTCCAGATCGCCTTCCTCTCTTACTAATACTAAATAGATCTAAATAGATCATGTGTCTAGTGTGTTAAAGTTGGGATGCATGGTTGAAGAACTGGATGAGTGACAGGTCCTTATCCTGGAGGTTGCTCCCCCTGTGTTGATGAGTTTTTTTTGTTTCTTGGAAATTTGGTGCGCAGAGAAAYCAACAACAAGCTGGAAAAGGTTCTCAAAAAGAAACAACCAGTAATGTACACATTTATGTGAAGAGGAAAGAAAACTGTTTCCGACTAATAGATTCTCTAATTCTGATTGGTGCTTTGTTAGCATTACAAGCAAGCAAAGCTTGGTGCTTGTTAGTCCTACTAGTAATCTAAAACCGGCGAATTTTAATTGTACTCATAACCTGTTTTGTTTTTGATAGCATTATTCACAACAAAAACCGTTGCTTAGTCTTTACACAACGAATCATCATCGTCATTGAGGCGAGGACATCGTCTTGAAACTCTTACTGTATTTCTCTACCGTACGTGTTTTATCGAACAGTCAGTTTCCAACAACATATGTTGCAGTCCTAATATGAAAAATGGTATGACGTCACAAGAAAYAAAAAAGACGTTTGACCAATGAGCTTTTAGCGATAATGGGGCGATTGCATAATAGAACAAACGAGAAATTCTAGACTGCCGATGTCTGAAGCCAATGCTCCGCTTGTGCCGCTAGCCAAAACTGTCGGCAACCGCACATTTGGAGGGTCTGATGTATGATAATCGGTCTACTGAGGTGAAAATGCAGCTGCAAAACCGTGGGGAATGCTACGTAGGACGATAGTACTTGCAGACACGGAGAAGGAAAAATACGAACGCAAATAAAAATGCTGGAAGTACTTTTTACGCTGCTGAGATAAATTATTTCCTGTTGCCGATTGAAACAAGAGCGTTACCTTTTTTGACGCAAACAACTCACTTCGAACAAATTGGACAATCATTCTGTTGCTGTGCCGCGTTGGGGAGCTGCATTGTATCGGAGAGACCAAACAATATAAGACACCCGAGGAGAAACTGACGGAATGAGGCAATCAATTACGCTCCCAATTTTTGGATTTTTCCTCATATTACTTGGCAAACCAACCGAGGGATTGGAGTTGAATAATAACAACCAAAGAAAACACTACAAGATTTCTCGCCAATTTGATAGTTTGGATTCGATTCGCAGCGAGGCGCTATTTGCATCCATGTCTTCCTCTTCGTCAAGGAGCAGTGGCCCTGGACGATCAATTGGACCTGCTTTCACAAATCTCAAGGGTAGCCACGACGGAGTCAACAACAAAAGCAGCAACAGCGAAGAAGATAGCAAAATCGGTCGTTTGGAAGAGTTAAAGCAACAAGAAGCTGACCTGGCACGACAATTGGCAGAAATACGAATGGAGAAATTATCTGCTCTTCGTTCAAAGCCATTRACAATCGGTGTGATTGGATTCGGAAGATTTGGTCAATTCATCTCTAAAACGTTTGCKAAGCACGGGAACATTGTTGTGACATCTCGTAGTGACTACACTAATGAAGCAGATGAAATGGGGGCAGAGTACGTTCCACTCTCCGATCCTCAGTCCTTTCTGGACAAGAATTTGGACGTAATTATTCTTGCAACGTCGATTGTCAGTTTTGAATCTACCGTGAAGAACCTGACGCCACATTTGAAAGACTATGTTTCCAAGGGAARRAAAGGACCATTGTTGGTCGATGTTCTGAGTGTGAAGGAACATGCGCGGGACATTTTGTTAAAGCACTTGCCTGAAGAATGTGACATTCTATGCACACATCCTATGTTTGGACCTGATTCAGGAAAAAATGGATGGCAGAACCTGAATTTTGTTTTCGAAAAGACAAGGGTAGACGGCGTGTTGTTTGATCCCAGTAGTCACATCGAGCTCCAAAATACTGCAAGCAATGACCGATCGTACAATGAAGCCTATTCCTATATCGAGGCAATGGACAGAATAGAACGGTTCCTGAGTATATGGGAAGAAGAGGGGTGTAGAATGGTACCCTTGAGCTGCAAAAAGCACGACGAATATGCTGCGAACTCACAATTTATCACGCATCTTATGGGAAGAATTCTTGGAAAACAAGGTTTGCAGAAGACGCCGATTGATACAAAAGGTTTTGAATCTGTCCTCAAACTCATTGATTCGACTACGGCAGATTCATTCGATCTATTTTATGGCTTGTACAAGTACAACAAACGAAACAGCCAGTCCATCATTCATCAGCTTCAGGACGCTATGGATGACGTTGTAGATAATCTGAAGATTCTTGAGAGTGAAGACATGAAAAAACAAGAACTRAGACAAGCTCAAGAGGACGAACAAAACCGACAGGAATCGGAATCTGCTACAGACAAGAAAGCAATGGGGGCCTACTTGGAATAATATGCGACGAGTTCAGTTTAACTTAATCTAGAGAAGAAAAATTCATRAATTGTCTTGTTGCGATAAATAATTATTGCGAWGAACGAGTATGTATTCATACTTTAAATAAATTAACTTCAATAAATCATCGACCTTTTGAAAAGCACATCATCCTGCGATWTATGGGAATGCGTAACTAGATTCCTTCACTACTCCAGTTGAGTTTCTCCTTCGTCGTTGTCGTCATCATCTTCTTCCTCTTTGTCAACGGCATTGCCAGATTCTACAGGTGTCGACTCAGCGATRCCATCACCGTCGCTATTATTAGCATCAAYATCCTCCGCATCATCGTCTTCCGTAGYTTTTGCTGCCTGATTGACCTCTGCTGGTGRTGCAACAACAGCAGGCTTGTCCTCTTGCTCCGACGCACTTTCTTTCTCGCAGCTTTGGATTTCTTTGATGACGGTTGCCCATTCCTCGAKGGATATGRCTCCTGTGATTTTTTGCTCSTCTAACGGAATACCRGGAATGCTTACGTGGGTGGCGAATTTGCGTGCCACTAGGCATCCCCTGTCTCTCGCTAGCTTTCCCACCCGTTTCAAATCCGTTGCACCCTTGCTGAACAGTGCTGGGTTTTTCATGCCCTCGGTCCAGTCGGTGWAGGTCACCGGCGTCAAGACTATTTGCTGGTTTTTCATTGGTGGGGACGWCTCCGCAGAAGGATTTGCTTCTGAATGCGAYTGGGTCTGACCCACTGCGTTCTTTGGTGACGATGCGGCAGACAAGCCACCTTCTCCGGTCTGTGWCGACGACGACTCCTCGTCTCTCAAKCGACCCTTCTGAGTATCATTCCCATCCTTGGTGTACCGCAASTCGCCCAAGAGTGCCAAGGCCGTTGGGAAAAACATCTCATCGCTGGCATTGATGTGACGGAAGGATTGCCAGAGCTGGTGCTTGGCCGGTTTGAATGGTCGGTCCATACCGATGATGGACGAGGCGTGCTTTCGGGACAGCAACACCCACTGATCACCCTTCCAGCGATACTGACCGGGAATCCTTCGATTGATCCCCGCGAATTGGTCGTCCTCGTACTTGTTTTTGGGCGTATCTTCTTCCGTGCGATGGCGTGCATTCACCCACGACACGGTCGAATCAGAAATCTTTTTAAAGAATTCCGGGGCCGTGACCACGGGCATGCAGCTTTCCGAAACATACAAAAACTGGTCCACCGGCGGAATGGAAGAGCCATCGAAGGAGGGAGGGGACCGAGCCAGGAAGCGGCTCGGGCAAAACCTCTTGTCCTCGCATTTGGGCACGGCGTYGTTTCCGATCTTGAGCCCGTTTTGCAAGAGATCCAGCATGGCACGCGTGATCTCCACCGATCCCCATTCCGGTTCTCTCGTCAGATAGACCGGATCCATGAACGAGTTCCCTCTGCCCTGTTTCGGACCGAAGGTCAGAAGGCGCTGGCGCATCCATTCGCTGGTGACCTTTTTGGGGAATTTGGCATGGCAAAGCACCGAGACGAAAAARTCGTCTACCGATTCGTCGAGCGACGACGACAACGTCTCCATCCACCCCTTCCATATTTCTTCAAAGGGTAGGTCGTCAATGCAAATGACCAGCAGGGCCACATGTTTCGACTTCTTGGCTTTTTCCTCGGCCGTGGGAGCCCGTGGAAAGCCCCGGGGGATTCGATAGCCGAGKTTGCGCAGTTCGTCCAAGCCGTCGTGGCTGGGTGGTGGCCCGTGACCGTGACCGTAGCCGTGCCCGTGGCCCGATGATCCGTACCCGTGCTGCGGAGGATGAAAGCGTCGGCGGTTTGTAGATGGACCGTGGCGGTAGTTCGAATCCTGGCTCCATTCGGCGGGTCGGTGACGTCGCCTGTCTCCTCCGTACCTATCATCGTCACGCCCACGATTGGGGTAATCATAGCGACTGTTYCCTCTACCGCCATAGAAGCTGCTGTTACCACCGTAGTTGCCTCGCCCCCCACGGTCYCCTCGGTTGCTACTGTAATTGCTATTGCCATGGCCATTGTCGCCACCGTTTCCTCTGTTACTGGAACTATCCGAAGACTTCTTCTGAAAGGCGGAAAGCTGAGAACGAAAATCCATCTTCTTTGCTCTGTTTTGATTGAAAGTCAATGTCAATACGCTTTCCTTCTTCACGGTTTCCTTCTTCTGGTAATGGCGTTTTTCACTGGCAAGAAATACGGTTTCCTTCTTCTGGTAATGGCGTTATTCACTAGCAAGATTCTTCGACAACGTGACAGCTCACTCGCGTTATTGTTGATTCCCACCCGTCGCCGACGTTGAGAATCTCTCAAAAGATATTTTTTTGTGCCTGTCATCCCATGTGAACACATGTCTGTCGATTTTGAAAACGACACGACGGAACTGGTATCCATTTTTCCCTAACGGAACCAGTACGTACTCGTAGGCGTAGGCTATGTACCCAGAATCGGGAGGGTGAAGAACACAGAACAGCCAGAGAGTACARTAACGGGTAATACGGTACGATGTCAGAACTATGAAGCGTACGTATGATGATGATGATTGATGACGATGTTTTTCGTTTTTCGTAAGTCTGGCCACCACCCTACGGTACMTACGTACTGGTCGTACGTACCAAACTCAAATGCTGCAATTTAGTTACGACTAACTTGACTATCTAATTTCTAATGTATCTTTCCCAACGAACTTTTTCAAGTTTATGAAGCGATACCGTACCGTACTGTATCGTACTGTAGAGTACGTTGCATGTAATTTGCGCAGTCGTACTCGTGCTCTCTCGTGCCAGTTGCCTCATCACGTAAGATACGAACCAGCAGTCGACAGCTGACACAGATAGAATCAGTTGACATCATACAATCACCATAGGTCAAGTCCTGACAAAAACATTGTTTCCTTTCCCTTTTTCACAAGAAGAACTATCGAAAACCAACTACTTCCTTAGTTCCTTATTTTGCAACCATGACAATTTCCACACGACTTTCGAATCTCGTTGTTTTTTTTCTCTGTTTGGTCTCGGCTTCGAGGGAGTTCGGATTCGCTTCGGCTTTCTCGCCCACCGGGCTGCCACAGTCGTCCCTGGTGTCGCCTAAAGCGTCGGTTGCGGGTACAACGACCCGGGTCGGAATGGGGATGTTCGATTTTATCCAGAACGCCTTCAAAAACGAAGAATACGACGACCGACTCGCAACCGCCTCCCACATCCTGGTCGACACCGAGCAAGAGGCACTGGTCATTATGAAAGAGATCGAAGAAGGACAAACAACCTTCTCCGAGGCAGCGAAGACGTACTCCAACTGCCCCTCCTCCTCTAAGGGGGGATCCCTTGGCCAATTTGCACCGGGAACTATGGTCCAGGCGTTTGACGACGTGGTTTTTGATGAGAACGTTGCTATCGGTTCCATCCAGGGACCCGTTTCGACACAGTTCGGGTGCCACTTGATTGTTGTGGAGGATCGAACGGTGAATAATGTGCGCTCGGAAGGAGATGGCTTCTTCTAACAGCTAGTGGTCATTTGTACTGCTAGTAGATGCATCTATTCTACTAGATCAGAGGGTAGACGACTGGATGAATGTTGAAAACAGAAACGTGGAAGTTTTGGCTTAGATTTAAGATGTATCTAGAGTTATGTCTATGAATATATTTCATTCTACGCAAGACCRAGTTMTAAAGGCTCWAAGCTATTCGTTTTCATCGTCTGCGGCATCTAGTAGCAATAGTAAGCTAGTTCTTCTCCTTGAAACGGTTACYACGGATCATCTACTATTCAATAGAATCATGTATTATCCACGAATGTTACTTTGCTACTTTACCACKGGGTTCCTTTGTCTTCCTCTACCCACAAACAATGCKATGATTCATTGCATTGTTTCCTTGCTTTGTTCGCTCCCGGCTTTTCCGGCCTGAAATGAATCAGAACAATGATTTTGTTGTTGTTTTAGATACTAGCCGAAGTCACCGTTCTACGTTACATACTAGTAATCGTTAATCCTACCGTACTGTACTACGTACCGTAGTGTACTGTAATACTGTACGTAGTCTATTGTTAGTGGTATGTATGGTACTCCCATACGGTAATAGTATGATTTTGTATTTCAAATGCATCGTATCTATCGAAAATACTAACCATATGATACCTAACAAAGCGCCACACTATTGATTACTTGTAAAAAATAAGACAAAGTAGTTAAGACTGTTTTTGTACTGTTCCTACRTATTTCTACGGAAGGCATCTGTACCTCTTACTAAAAATTTGATTTTGACTTTCACTACGCAACACGGATCGTACAGACCGATCACTGGTTGCATGCACTCTAGCTGTCGCGCTCTGAACCCGATATGCATACACGACATAGTAGTTGTTAGTACCGTACGGTAAGTTGACCATGGGATTTTGATCAAGCTCGATAGGTTGATGTCGATAGCGCATCAGCATTAGACAAACACATTAATCTTTATTTAGTTGGTGGTTGGTGAGATGTTGCGGTGCAGGTATTGCGATGGGTTTAGATCGGGTAGCAAGCGTACACGGCAAGAATCCAGCGACGAGACTGCACCCGTTGTTGTAGAACTAAGCGGCAGSCGTCTTTCCATCCGTTTCTAATCATACTGTTTCCATTCATCTCTTCACATTCAACTGGCGCGTAGTTTACTTTTTTATTACAATAAATTCAAGATGGGTAAGCCAAATGGACTCCGAACCGGGCGCAAGCTCCGAATCCACCGACGAAACCAACGTTGGCAGGATAAGAAATACTGCAAGGCCAACTCTATCACCGCCATGAAGGCCAACCCTATGGGAGGATCCACAATGGCTAAGGGAATTGTCTTGGAAAAGATCGGTATTGAGGCCAAGCAGCCTAACTCCGCTATCCGTAAATGCGTTCGTGTTCAATTGATTAAGAACGGAAAGAAGATTGCCGCATTCGTCCCACGTGATGGTTGTCTGAACTATGTTGATGAGAACGACGAAGTATTGATCGCCGGTTTCGGTCGTTCCGGTCACTCCGTTGGAGATATTGCCGGAGTCCGATTCAAGGTCGTCAAGGTTTCGGGAGTATCGCTTTGGGCCCTATACAAGGAAAAGAAGGAGAAGCCTCGTTCGTAAACAATAACAATACAACAATATATAAAATCACCAACCCACCCTCCTGTATATCGACTGGTATTATTTACATTGAAAGSCCCGGCACGTCTAGAGTTGCGTTGGAAGAACATTGAGTCTACGAGCAGRTTCAGTTTTTCTCCGTACTGATCACAATAGTACATTCGGGTYGAGGAGATTAAAAATAGAAAGGTTCTAAATCAATATCATTGTAGCAGGTCCGATTCTCTTCACAAAGATTTCGAGAAGCCAGTAGAGACGTCCTGATCCCCCCCACATGCAACAAATTCATTTGCAACTCGCGTTTACCGAGTATCACGTGYAAAATGAAACTTGGCCGGGGATAATCTGGTCACTGACGGACATTTGCAATGATAATTGAATCCTTGCGTTTCGTATTCATTGCACGTTTTCATTCAAACTATTATATTTGTCTAGTGGGACGCAAAGATCTTTGCCCTCAACTTGATCCATGGCAAATGGATGCGTCGTACCACTTCTCGTAAAAAAAAATTAACCTTTATTTGAAATGCATTGCATAGTCGAACCATGGCAATCTATTCAATTGCACCACGACAGAAGCGAACAAAATCAAGAATCAAATCATTCGACTACGCGCATGAAAATAACTTGCTATTAGAGATRAGAAATAGATAGATGATAAAGAACATGAGAAAGTATATTATTGATTCTGCTCTTCCGTCCCTACGTTTGCTATGGCCAATGATAGATTCCGACGGCAGCTCCCCGCTCACGGCAGTACATCGTCGTGAAAGKTTAAGAACGTCTTTTCGAGAATGGGCATTATTTTTTCGGATTCCTTGGGAGTCAAAAGCATCCGCAAGTCGGCTCGATCGGCATCGGGCTTCCCAACCAASAGAACCGGATCCAACAGCCTAACAAGATTGAACTCTTTGCCTCGGTGATCGAACGTCATCAACACTTCAACCTGCTCCTCATCGCTGTCATCGTCGTCGTCATCGTCGTCTTCTAGCTCTTCATCGTCGTCCTCCAATTCTCCGACAAGGGTCAGTGTTTGGGGTGTTCGTTGCAGGGTCAATTCTTCTTCGAATTCTTCCTCGACAATGTTTTCGGCGATGGGAAAGATATCGTCCATGAGATCATCGTCCAATTCCACTGGAAGCAGGTTTTCGCCCTCGAAATAGCACAGGGCGACACAGTAATCACAGGGAACGCCAATCGTGTACTCSACGCCATCGACCGTGATGATCGAATCTGCGTAGCATTCAATAAAGCTGTTCTGGGATCGGTCCAARAAGGGAATCGGAACGCCCTCGTCTTCTTCGGAYACTCGCTTYAGAGTTGCGTCTCCTTTTCCGGCGTAGAGGGACGAATGCGCAACCGATTGTCCCTGTCGTGAACGGATGGMAGCCTGCGGCAGCGAATGTGTCGAAAAGGCATCGTTTGTCGTGATGAGAAGGCAAGCCRTGACCACAATTGSCACGAARCTACGACTGATGAACATGGTCGTGTTGTTATGTAATTGTAAGCTGATCTWGTAGCGTAGTTGCAATGAAGTGGATATTATATCGCACGAAGCAGGCAATCGWAATACTGAATAGAAAGGGTTCTKTGATGTATTAGATTCGTCAAGTATGGGGTCTACCGTACAGATCATCGCTTGACGTGGAAACTTGCGGTAAACAAAGGAGATGATGACTATTCGATGATGTTTCTGATTTTTGTNTTGTCTTGTGAGCGCGATTGGTTGGATATTGATAAAGAACTAAAGAGGTGACAGCTTGCCTTGTTGAGGTTGATGTAATGAGAATATTTTTTATTTTTCGTGCGCTCAGAAATCAACAAGCCCGAAAACGTTCTCTGACAGGAAACATATACAATATGCACATGTAACGAAAGAGGAGGGAAAACTCTTTCCGACTGATGGATTCTCTAATTCTGATTGGTGCTTTTGCTGGAGTTAAGAAGCAAGCAAAGTGAGCAAAAAACTGGCGCGTTTTATGTACTCATAACCTGTTAGAAATCGATAGTCTTATAACGCACCGAAACCTGTACTGTAGTATGGTAGAAGCTACTGAGCACACAGAAGATTGAGGTTATTCACTAGCTACTCATGATTAACTCGTTCCAGCAGGTATCGATTTTACGGCATTTGTACGAGTACAAGTACGACGAAAACTCGTTAGTCGGAAAATACTGTTCGAAATACCACCAATAAACCATGTGATCTCCGTATTCTGCTCAATGTTGTACCGTACCGTAGCTCAATGATGAATTGAGAATGATAATTAGAGACAGGAAAGCATGAGCCAAGTAGAKGAAACGCCGGCTTCTCTGAAAGATACGAAAGATGCTGCATCGGCAGTGCAACAATCACCGAAAGTAGACTCTATAATAACTAATCTGGATGCAACAATCGCCGGTTTCGGTGATGGCCACATTTTTCCAGACACAGAAACGTCGCCGGCTTCGAGCTGCTGCAGCAGCAGCGACAAAACCGACCACCGAGCTAACGCGCTTGGAGATGGAATCGTCGAGCGCTTTTCGCCTCCCGGATTAGAGGAGCCTTTCAAACAATTGCACTCGATTCTTTTTCCCGCCTTGCACCGGGGCCATGCCAAGGACGGCATCGATCCTGGCCGTGCCGGTCCCGCCACACTGCCGCTGTCTTCTCCCTCCTCCAAGTTCCAGAATCCCATATCATCTTCGTCCGCAGCGATTCTAATGGGAGTCAAAGGAAGCGGCAAAACGCTCTTGCTGGAACGTGTCCTAGCGGCTTGTCGGGAACAGCTCCAATACAATCCTGGTGGTGGTCGTCGGCGTCTCCTGTATCGGATGGTCGAAATCAACGGTATTGTATGCAGAGGAGAAGACGTCGCATCGGTAGTATATGAAATAATCCGACAACTCTCTGATATTGCGTATAGATCTATCCAGACAACGAAGGCCGAGGAATCGCCCTKGAAGGCAACTAGGAAAATTAGAAGAACCAGTGGTKACGATTCTGACACCACAGGCAAGCGCGGCTTTTCTTCGGATTCTATTCTTCGCCACAATGACGGGAAAACAGAAGAGRGAAATGAAACTGGCAGGTTAGGGGGAAACGAGAAAGATGATAGTGGTGATGAGTCTATCTTTGTGCATGAYGACGATGATGCAAACACACGAAAAAGAAAAGCTCGGCGCCAGAGACGAAAGCAACGCAAGATAGACAAACACATGCTACGGCTTCGAAGGGCGACATTCAACTCGAACCTGTCTCTGTTGGAGTCCATTCTCGAGTTTGCAGCCGCCGACGACATTCCGATCATATTGAATCTAGACGAACTGGATTCCTTCACCGACGAAGGAGAGCGACAGATGCTTCTCTATCATCTATTGGATCGCGTAGCAACTCCGGGATCCAACCTCGTTTTGCTTGGCACGACCTCGTCGTTCTCGGCACTGACGCTATTGGAAAAACGAATTCGGTCCCGCGCCGAAGGGACGTCGAAAATAATCTATCTGCGCACTCCGCCGACGTACCACGGACTCTTGGAGTTGTTGGATTACAAACTCAAAGGTTGCGTGGCACGAAAAGACATATTGGACAGGTTRGCCCATCCAAAAGACATAGAAGCCAAGGCGCGCGAAATTGTTTCCAAGAAGGGCCTGGGCGCGAGGAATGGTCATRSAAACCATACGGAGGAAAGCACGGATGAAATTGTGAAACTGTCTGTCGCAATGGAACGGGAATTCAGAGTCGGCAGAGATACAAGGTGGTTTAGTCGCGTGATTGCCACATCTCTATCACTGTATCGTCACGATTGTATCATGGCCATGTCTTTCAACGACAGCAGCGTTTCTTCAGGAAGCCMTTTGTCCGACGGCGCTCCACCCAATTTCTGCGCGAAGTATATTCGGGACGCAATGGCTATGATGGGTGCTTCCGTCTTGGAAACCATGGCGGSATCYGGTCARCAACCCGATCTCTGCATAGTCGATGGCGTAGCTGCAAGTCCTCGTTTGCAGGCACTTTTGGATTTGTCGACGCCACAGGTCGCACTGATGCTGTCTGCSAGACGAATACTGAAGCGGGAGGAGCAAAGAGAACTGGTTGTGCTKGCTCCCCTCACCTTGGAACGAATGCTGAAGGAATACGAATCGTTTCGACGGGGGTCGAAATCGATGGGGAATTCAAAACYACTGAAAAGGGCCGCATCCCATCTCATGGAACAAGGTCTGTTAGTGCCCTCCATGGATCATTCGGGAGGTGGACCTCTTCAGTACGATGTGTCCAAAATGTATAGAACATTGGATAACTATACCTTGTTGCGACTTCCACTACACATTCCATACGACATTAATCGAGAGCTGGGGAAAGCTCTGGAACAAAATCTTTTGGAATGTCCGACCGCACTGAAAGAATGGGCTAGATTTATTTCGAAAGCTGCCTAATAAAATCGTCGACACGTATGGCATTAATGGTCTATTGTGCTGTATCGTGTTTTCCATGCTTTATTCCTTTTTTGGACACAACATCCATTGTGTTTGAGAACAACATGGATCTATCTTCTAGGTTCGAACATCATACTCCCGTTTCCACCATGACTACTRGAAGTTGTTGTAGGCATCTGGGGATTCATCATCTTTGCCTCTTCGACTGTTAACAAGACACTTTGCAAGGCTTTTTGGGAAACGAGCAAAATCGGAAAAGATTAAGTGAAAGTCAGAACGAAAAATCGAATGCCCCAAAATAGGGAACAATCGTACACTACTTACCTTTTTGATCGATTGGTTGTCCCATCAGTCTTAAAAATTGTTGCACTTGTTGGATTCCCTGATCAGTGCTAAGATTTAGACAGTGTTCGTGAAGGAACTGAAGTATCCACTTGGGTAGCTTCGATCGTTTGTCGTGGCGGTTGTAACGACTATCGGCAAGGATCATGAGTCCATAGTCGGTCTTGCTTCGGATGACCCGACCTACACACTGGGATGTTTGGCGGAGGGCATCGAAATTCAAAAAATCGGCTTCTCGAATCTGGTAATGGGTCTGTAGAAACTCGAGGCGGGCTCTCAAAACATGAGACAGGGTATATTGGAATGGCACCCCAAACATAACTACCGCACGACCATAATGCCTATCAAAATTGATACCCTCGGAAACCTAAAAACAGAAAAAGGAGGGATTAGTAAATGTAAAAAATCCTCATGCTCTAGGTTGTTTGCAACCAACTTGCACTGTCCGAACTGCGAGACAGAATGAGCACACACCTTTCCCCTCGCAACGGACAGAAATACTGCCCCGCGACCCGAGTCGCATGCTCTCCTGAAATTATCTAATGCCAATGTAGTCTCGACCACGTCCTTGGTTTCTATAAAAACTAGTTTTGTCCGTGTCAAGTCCTTGAGCACACCCGTGGCATCCCATTCGGACACAAGCTGCTCCATGTACGAGTAAGACGTAAAGAATGCGACCACTCCATCGGGAATCACGCTGCACAAATCCACCAGCATTGCACCATAATTCCTCACGACACTAGCATCGTTCCTGTCTTCGTATCTGGTAGAGACAGCCAACTGGTCCGAGCCTCGAGTGATCACGAGTGGACGGATGCACGGGCGGAATGTAGACATGTTCAACGACTCCGATATGCAGGGCTCGAATTGCAGCAACTTTGGATACAAATCAATAGGTGACAAAGCTAGAAAAATGCAAAATGCGTTGAGTCGAATGAGACACACACGTTGTTTATAGTAGTGCCAACAGCCACATCATAACAACAACGCATCCGTGACAAGCACTTGCAGAATCATTGCTGCTGATGCTCTTCTTTCGTTCGTTTATCACTTACTCCCCGACGTGATGATGACGCTACTGAATCGTTTGAAGACCGGAGCGATTGCGAGCGACGAGTCCAGGCACGAGAGCTGGATGCAGGGATCGGAAGCCCCGGGAATGTTGGATCCGTTGGGCTCCATGATGATCGCAAACTTTGCCACCCCTTCCGAGTACGTGGCCAGCAGCGTCGAAAAATCCGCAACGTCCCCCAGCGAGTTGAATTCGTCCATGTTGGAAACCTGGAGGGTCCGGAGGAGCGAGTTGAGCCTCGAATAGGCAAACCGAAGGGGCTTTGCCTCGAGGGACGTCCCGTTCGTCATCCGGTGCAGAAAGGCCAGGGGGGTTTCGCTCGTCACGCCGCCGTTTGGGCCCGTGATGGACTTGAGGCGGTTTTTCAGGTGCTCGACAACCTTTTTCATGAACCGAATAAAGTGTTCGGCACGGCGGATGTTCCCGGGGACGCTCTCGTTCAAGACGTCTGGGGCCAGAACGTTGCTGGCAAGCCCCGTGTCGTTGGCCGGTGCGTCCAGCAGGCCCTGGTCGATGAGCCCGTTGATGAGGTTTTGGTATTCCTGGTTCAGCCGCTGATTGTCCGAAGCCTTGATTTTCGTCACCTCCGAGGACAACCGACCGAGGGACCGCGTGGCTTGCTCGAGGCCGCGATCGTTGATCTTTACGCTGAGGGCTTCGATGCATACCGAATCGATGTTGTGGGCTTCGTCAAAGACCACGATGCTTTCCGCTTCGAGCTCCTTCGACACCATCTTTGCGACCTTCGGGTCGAGCATGTACTGGTAGTTGAAGACCAGAACATTGGCGTGGTTGATTGCCTGCCGAGCGAGATAGTACGGGCACCAGCCCCGGGCCTGTCCCCATTTTTTCAGTTCCTCCAGATCGTACACCCCGCTCGGCATGTTGGTGGATTCCCCGGCCTCCTGGAAGCTGTCGAAAAAGCTGCAGGTCTCGATGCTCGACCCCGGGTGGGTCTTGGCGTGCTCGACGACCCAGGAGGCGGTCATGCTCCGGCAGGCGGCGTCCACCGCCTCGCGATCGCTCTCGGCCATGACCCGTTCGTTGACGCACATGTTTCTCCGGCTCGACAGGCACAGGGCCAGCTCCCCGCTGCCCCCCGCCCCCTTTGGTGTGCGGATCGGTCCCATGGACACCGCTCGCCCCCGTTGCTTTGGAACCCCCCGGATCGTCCGCGGCCGCTTCTTTTTGGGTGGCGACGGCGGATTGCTCGGGCTGCGCTCTCCCGTGTCTCCCGTGCTGTCTGTTTCTGTTTCTGCGTCCGCGTGGCTCTTGTTGCCTTCTTGCTGGCCCGCTCGCTCCATCGATGCGAGTTCCAGCTGCTCCGCTCGGTACAAGAGGACGGTCCCCAATTCTTCCACGACGTGGTTCATCTCCGGAACGGTTCGTGTGCAATAGACCAATTTTCCCACCGACGGATTGGCGTACTGGTAGGAGGTGATGAGGGAGAGGAGGCAGACGGTTTTTCCGGTTCCCGTCGGCATCTCCAGGAGGCAGTGGCCACCGGCATCCAGAGACTGCTTGAGGGACCGCATGTATTGGAACTGTTCCAGGTAGATCCTGTCGTAGGGAAAGAAGACGTCGAGGCCGTCCAGATCAAATCTCATCGTTTTTGATGCCGAGCTCTATTTTGCAAGTTTTCGTTTCGGCGCGGAAGTTTTCAATGCTGCCGTTCCTTCGAAACATCGACCGATCAACCGATCAACCGATCGATCGATTGTGGTTTGATTGATGCTTGGATCGCTCTGTCGCTGTAGTTGGTGTGTATCCTATTTAGCAAGAATTGGGGGTATTGATTGACCTGTCATCAAAAGAAATAGAAGTACCATTACTCAGATAGCAGTACAGGTACGTACGGGTAGTTCGCGCGATGGGTTGGAAATGTTCGTCTTTCAACTTCTTGTGGGACTCGCTTCGAGTTTGGGCTTCGATAGATCCTCGTTGAGAGACGTTGTTTCGAAAAGTGCGCACTCTCGCGCGAAACAAAAAGCAAAACGAATGAATCACGATCCCAAAAATCCCGCCGACGCCAAACGTGATCTTTACTCGTGGGCTCGGCCATGGCCAAAAAACAGTCGCGCACTCCATTTCAATGGTTTTTACTTCGTAATCATCAACGACGACGACGCCGACGACAAAAACAAAAACTGCCACAAAGTCAACAATCACCACACAACATTCGGCAGGTCCCGATCACATACATAAAGATAGAATTCGAGAACTATACAAATAAATTCAATAAAATGACAACAAWATGCATCGGATAACATAAATCATGACGAAACCGGAAACTTCAACAGCAGCGACAGGGCGCAAGAATACTCGTAGCAGCAAMAGAGGAGCAGATGTTGCAGCAAAAAGTGCCGCCAGCAAAAAAACATCCGGCASGGGCCAAACACCACCCGTAGCTTTTGAGGCTCCTTCCCACGTCTTGTTCTCTGGAATTATTCCTCCCAGGGCAACGGTGTCGGAGCCGCTGGCATTGCCATCCACCGCGAACCTAAAACCACCTCCAAAGCTGCGCTTTACGATCGATCCCCGCATCGAGAAAGACTACGTTTCCAAACGAAAACGGGCCTACGACGGCATAGATCTTTCCACCGGGGCTTCTCTGTCGGATTCTTCTGTTTCTACCGCCACCAATCCCTGGGAGGGGGTGGCGAGGGTGGAACGGGACCTCGTTTCCTGCTGCGAGCCACTCGGGAGGGACTATTTCTTGAGGCAACGCGACAACCACGACAGCGACGAAGAGGAAGACAGCGACGACGACGGCGCCAASGACGAGAACGATGCTGGTCCGCACCCGCAWACCGCCGAGCAGCATTCGCACCTGCACGAACTCTCGGCCTTTGCGGTGGGGGGAGATCCCGAGGATTTAGGGGGAGTGCTGGCAAGGGARAAAGGTACGGRCCAATGCATGAATGAAAAAATGAATGAATGCATCCATCGATGGTACATGGAAACCTTGGATGCATCTAGAACCTGTCTTTTGGCATACCATAGGAACCAAATGGTCAGAGGGTTCTGCTSTTTTCAATACGCAATAAATCTACCCATTTCTATTTGTCTCACTGATTTTCGTTTTCGTTTTCGTTTCCGTTTCCGTTTCAATTCTATTCTATTCCATTGTGTCGCATCAAATTTTTGGCCGGCTCACCGGAATGGCATTGCCGCTTCATTTCTGCCTTCTCCAAATCCTACACTTAATCCTTGCTTATTCTGTGGCCACAATGGTATTTGTATCCAGAAATTGCCTTTGCCGCAATTTTATCGCGGAGCTGCCATACCATGRCTTCGAAGAGTTTGGCACTTGCTATATTGGAACGAACGCTAGGAGCCTACCTGGCAGAAGAAGCTAGCACGGGGAACCAGAACCAAAACTCACAAAAGGACAACAWYRCAAACGACGAAACCCGCGATTCCGAAAATCGAAAAGATRCTGCTGCTGCTGGTGCCAACACCGACACGAACAGTCCAGCCGGCGCCGGCAAAGAAGATGCCACCGAACAATCCGAACAGTCCACCAGGTATCAAAATCGGAGGAAGCGCCGCCGATTGCTAGACGGCAGCAAAGAAGAATCCGGCGGGGGGAACGATATAGTCTCTGGCAATGCGACTACTACTGCGAGTGGTGAAAGGGAAAACAATGGCAAGAACGGGGACGGCGGGGATGCTTCCTTGTCTAGACAGGTTGCCGATAGCAGTGCGAATAGCAAAAACAACAACAACAACGACGACGACAACAACAATACTGCGAATGGAGAACCACCATTTTCAAAACAACCGCAAARTCGTGGTCGCCTGGAACTATTCTTTGCAGCGGGAGGACTCCGAATTTTGAACCAATGGCTCAAAGAGGCCATTTCCTACGAGACGAAAACAACGCCAACAGCAACCAAGGTATCTGGCCCTCGCGCGGCCGCTGCGTCAACGACGACGGCAGCAACGACAGACACGAATGTCCCCATTCGAAAGGCCAGCGCCACTCGCCCACTTACCCTGGTCATTCTTCGTTTCCTGGAGCACATACCCTTTGAAAAGAAAACGGTGACGAGGAGCAAAATCAACAAGCAGATACAAAACCTCGCCAAGAAAATCGAATCCATTCAAGAACAACTCCACAAGCACCAAGCCAGCGGAAATGTGGACGTCGATCCTAACCTYCAAGAGGACCTGAAAGACTGGACGACACAGCCATCCATCCCGCCGGAAACCGCACTCGCCCAGGTCAAGCTTGCCGTCGATGCCGTCAAGACGTCCTGGAGGAACAAGGCAAAGGCAAAGAGCAAGTCGGGAAAAGGCGCCAAAAAAGCCAACGCCGACCCGTTCGGTGACATGAGATCCACGATCCGGGAACGGTTGCAAGCAATGGTCCTGTTCAAGAGCGGGGCACTCYCGGAACGGCCCGAATGGTACAATCCTTCGGCGGTGGCCGCCGGCACGAAGAAACGGCCTCGATCGCCGGAGGCCGGCGGGTCACAGAGCAAGCGGCAACCAAAGACCGAGTCGGAAGCCGAACGGCTCCGGCTGCAACAGAAAATCAAGCAGGCCCAGTCGCGCAAGCAAAAAAGTCTGCAACAGCTCCGGGAACGGCTCCGCCAACGAAAAACGGCAACGGGCCTCGCCACCAGGAGCACGGTGTTGGTGCCCGCCCCCTTCGGGAACGGAAGCCAGAAACGGGTGGTCTGGAAAGACGGGATGAAGAGCCAGGCAGCTCGGAACAGAAGCAAACTGGAGGAGGTCTTAATATTTCGATCCGAAGACACACCATCGGTGGTGGGGTCTTCTTCTGGTACAAACGCTCCAYCTCCGTAGCTAGATCCACTGGCTGCTACGAACGGAAAGAAGGGACTRGGATTGWAATTTCGTAAGCATCATGCGTTTRCTGCACACCACTACATTCGACAAATTTGCCGAAATAGACCAACGAACGAAATATAATTTAGAATTTTGAAAAAGAAAACATGAATATATGAGGTCAATGAAAGTAAATGTAGGCTTCTATTTTTATTGCTGATTGAGTGCAAGCCMTGTAGGGGTTTATCTGCTGCAATCATAGTGAAGGAAATGAGCTGGTCGTGGTTGTGTGCAACCATTCTGCTTCTAAGATTGGAGCAAGGATCGAGTTAC